GGAGCCCGATGTGGGACTCGATCCCGGGACTCCAGGATCATGACCTGAGCCGAAGGCAGTCGCTTAACCAACTGAGCCACCCAGGCGCCCTCCATTAGACTCTTATTTACATAGTAATTTAGTAAATGAATTAGCAAAGATAGAGACATTTCATAAATGATGTTGAGGCAATAGGAAAAGCTTCATATAACATACTAGGAACATTTTCATATATGGGAGCATGGAAGACCCTGTAAATCAGGTTATGCAGAAGCTATGAATGTAACCTTCTATATATCAAAGATACCCAAATCAAAGTACGTAAGCATCACACAAGGAATAAACATTATTATCCTCTAATAATAATACTGGGTGGGGGGAGGGGCACCTGGGTAGCTCAGTCGGTTAAAAGTCTGCTTTCGGCTCAGGTCATGATCTCAGGGTCCTGGGATCGTCCCACATCGGGCTCACTGCTCAGCAGGGAGTCTGCTTGTCCCTCACCCTCTGCCCCTCCCCCCACTTGTACGCTCATGCTCTCTCTCTGTCAAATAAATAAAATCTTTTAAAAAAATAGTGGAAAAGGTTAAGAGGTTGTTTAGAAACATCCTTTTGGGATCTCTTTTGCCATTCTTTTGGCAGTAAAATATGCATAACATAAAATTTACCATTTTAACCATTTTTAAGTGTACGATTCAGTGATGTCAAGTACATTGCATTGAGTATATTCACAGTGTTGTGCAGCCATCACCACTGTTTCCAGAACTTTTTCATCATCCCAGACAGAAACTTTATACCCATTAAACAATTACTCCCCATTCCCTCCTTTATCTAACCTCTAGTAACCTCTGTTACAATAAATTTCTGTCTCTGTGAATTCACCTATTTTACATACCTTGTATAAGTGGATTCATATGGTATTTGTCCTTATATGACTGGCTTATTTCTCTTAGCATGTTTTCAGAGTTCATCCTTGTGCATGCATTAGAATTTCACTCCTTTTTAAGGTTAAATAATATTCCATTTTATGTATATATCACATTTTTATCCATTCATCTAGTGATGAACATTTGGATTGTCTCTACCTCTTGCCTACTATGAATAATCCTGCTATGATCATTGGTATACAAGTATGTGTTTGAGTGGTGGTTTGTTTTTTGTTTTTTTTCAGCTCTTCAGATCTGTATACTAGATTACACGGTAATTCTGTGTTTTCCATAGCCGCTGCACCATTTTAACATTCCTATCAGCTCAGGGGTTCTAATTTCTCTACATCCTCACCAGCACCTGTTATTTTCTAGCCTTTATTATTATTTTTTTAATTTCTTTTTAAAGATTTCATTTTTAAGTAATTTCTACACCCAGAGTGAGGCTCAAACTCACAACCCTGAGATCAAGAGTTGCATGATCTATCAACTGAGCCAGCCAGGCGCCCCCTAGCCTTTATTCTTATCCTATCTCACTTTGGGTTGTGAATATGAGTTAATTGATCCCAAAAATTCTTGAGTTTTAAAGAAGATCCCCTACTTTTTAACTCCTACTCTCTTGCATATATGATTTATCTCTAACTCCAGCATACATAAAAGATCTGTGTTTTAATAAAAACATCTCTTTAGTACACAGTTCAGGTCATTAAAAATATGTGTGTAATAACCCACTGTTGCATTGAATGATATATATGCATAGTATTATGTATACACATATATAATGCATGTATTTTCTTTTTTAAGGTGCAAGAATTATTTATCCGTGATTATGGAGAAATTTTCAATGTCCAGTTACCTGGTAAAGAAGAACGAACAAAATTTTTTGAAGATTTAATTCTAAAGCAAGCTGCTAAGCCTCCTTTATCAAAAAAGAAAGCAGGTTAGTTTCTCTATTAAAGTTTAACGTATAATAATTTCGAGAAAGTGGGAATAAAATATTAATGGCATTGTCATCTTCTAATAACACAAACTCAAAACCTCAGTTGTTAGGTTTGCTTACAAATCTCTATGCTTCCCATTAAAGTAGACTAAAGATCTTAAAGCATACAAGGACTTTCCTACTGTAGACCCAGTCCATGGAGAATTTCAGCTGGAATTCATAGTAAAGCTCCAGCCTGTCTTCCCAAGCCCATTTTTGGCACTTTTGTTCTCCCCTCCTTCCCCCATCTCTTTCCTTGCAAACACTCTGTTTTTACACCACATGCATCATATTCCTGTCTTTTCATAATTTCATTTATGCTTGCTCTCTGTCAGTAATGCTTCTATCCTCATTGCCTATCTCTGCCTAAGGAACCACTTGTCCTTCTATAATTCATTTTTTTCCTCCTTAACATATCTAGGCAAAATTAATTTTCTACCATTATGACCCAGTGTACTTTTTTCATACTACTAATATAACATTACAATGATGTGATAATTGTCCCTTACTCCTTTAATAGATTGCCAATTTATTGGGGCATCACTCTCATACTCCTTTTTTATCCTGAATACTCAGTGCATATCTGTTTAAACAAAATTAAACTTACTATATTTGAAACATACCACAGTTTTTTATTAGTTCAGAAATTAACTCGTAAAAAGCTTTTTTTAATAGAATATTCTTGTGCTGGAAATAATGCATTTTGAAAGTTTTAATAGCCTCTTAATTGATCTTAAAATGGAACAGAGGTAGTGACTTAGGAATTAACATTACAAATAAATTACCAATTGTTGCTGGAGGGGAGCTAGCGATAGAGATTATGGTAGCACTTGAGTATTTCAAATCCTCTAATTCCTGGCAGATGTAAGGAGGATAACCCCTGAAAGCCTGGCCCTTGAATCATTTGTCACCCTTGCTATGATGGGAGAGTAGTAACTAAAATCTTCCGTTCGTGTGAAGTTTTGCAGGCCTTGGAGGTCCTCCCTGTAGCACCACCACCTGAGCCAAGACCACTGACAGTAGAAGAAGTGAAACGACTAGAAGAACAAGAAGAAGATACATTTAGAGAACTGAGGATTTTCTTGAGAAATGTTACACATAGGCTTGCTATTGACAAGCGATTCAGAGTATTTACTAAACCTGTTGACCCTGATGAGGTATTGATTTAATCTTTGGCTCAAATTTGTTCTAAACTATAATGAATTAGAGAATATTTGAATTGTTTATGTGGTTCCCTGTCTATACCCTGAGCTTATTTTCTTTATGTAGAATATACCGAGTAGTGTCCTAAGCACATGGAGACTTAAAAGCCATGTAATGCATTTTCCTTTCCTCCAAAGAGTAGCCAGTTAACTTTGTCTGCCAACCCAAACATTCTAGACATGATTTAAGATTGACTTAAGGCTACATAATATTGTGACCTACACGGTTTAAAGTGACCTGGAGAGTGAAGTGTGAAGTCTTAAGTTGACATTGAAGGATGGGTGACATTTGGATAAGGAAAGAGGTCTAAGATATTACTGGAGATACAGGTGCCCAAGAACAGGAGTAAATACAAAACAAAACCAGCTTTAAACAGAGTCAAAGGTTTCATATTAATACATTATCGTTATTTCTTATATATTTATTCTCTCTCCCCTATATTGCCTGGCAGAGCAACTGGACTCAGATTTTTTTTATGTTCAGAGTTAATTTAGTGATTTGGTCATTTGCTTGAATTTTAGGTTCCTGATTATGTCACTGTGATAAAGCAACCAATGGACCTTTCATCTATAATCAGTAAAATTGATCTCCACAAGTATCTGACTGTGAAAGACTATTTGAGTGATATTGATCTAATCTGTAGTAATGCTTTAGAATACAATCCAGATAGAGATCCTGGAGGTGAGCATTAGTGGGTTTGTTTTCCTCCCCGGGGGCGGGGGGGACAGGGACTGCTAACATTTAGTGAGGGTTGACTTTATGCCAGGTGATATAAACATTTTACATTCACAGGGCCATTTAGAACAAAATGAAGTTAGAGAGGTTAAAAAACATACTCGGGGTCATACTGCCAGGAAGTGGCAGAAGCAGAATTGGAATGCAGGTTTCTTTGACTGCAGCGTACCTGTATTTACAATTCCTTGGTGTATCCTCTAACGAGACACAGAATTGCATAACAACTTAGCTTCTTTCCTTTGTTTATCAGTGCTCTTTCCCCAAGTGGAAAATAAACATTCTGTAATAAAAAAGGTTTGAAAACATTTTCTCAGAGCCTGGAGCGTGACGTGGGGTTCCATCCCAGGACCCTGAGATCATGACCTGAGCCAAAACCAAGTTGGACACTTAACTGACTGAGCCACCCCAGCACCCCGACTTGCTAATAATATTTTAAAAACTAAGCCCTCTAGATTTATTATGGTGATCAATTCATAACGTATATAAATGTTGAATCACTGTGTTGTCCACTTGAAACTAATATAAGTCAACTACGCTTCAATAAAAATGAAAACTAAGTCCCCCATTTCCTCTCTCCAGAGGTGGACATTGTTAAGTTTGGGGATCTTTTTAGACCTTTTCTATACATATACCTATTCTGTCCTCACCTATGCAATCTATTAAAAAAAATAAAATTTATAAAGTAAGGATTTTTTTAATAATATATTTGTTCATATATATAATGATATTCAACTTGATATAAACTTACTCTGTTATCCAAAAATATTTTTCTTCAGTGCTTCTTTTTCCTAGCTTCCTATTTTTGTTTTGTGGATAGTGTCCTTAACTCTCTCAGTGGATAATTTTTTTTAATAGTCCTGTTTGCTATGTTAACTCTCTCCCCCAGTACACTGGCTTTCTGTTTTCTAGTTGGTAGTGTTTATAAATTAGACCGATTAGCATAGGGACCTACTGAGAGTTTCTTCAACAATTGAAAAGCTCACTGTTCTGCTTCCAGTCCTCTGCCCTCTCCTCCCCTAGCCTTTAACCTGTAGTTCAGGGTTCTGTAGGTTAACCATGGGGAGCAGGCTGCCAAACTGAGAACACCCCTAATTGTAGAAAGAAGGAAGCATTTACCCTGGATGCTGAGGGCTTTTTCTGTATCACTACAGTCAGGCTGCTGCTACGTCTCCTGCCCACGGTGACAATCTAAAACTACTTTAGACCAGTGGTACGCCTGCAGCAGGCAGTCAGCATCTCCTAAAGGGCTTGTTAAGATGCCGCTTGCAGGGCCCCATTTCCATGGTTCCTGATTCTGTAGATGTAGGGGAGGACGTGAGAATTTACATTTCTGACAAGTTTCCAGGTGACACTGATGCTACCACAGTTGGGGAACCAGTGCTTAGGCTTTTGCCTTTGCCCTTCTTTGGGCCCAAATGCCATGTTAGAAATCCCCTGAAGAATCCTTCTGATAGTCTAGCTATTGCTGCCAACTCTCACCTGGGTATGAATATTATAGCCTACCTCCCTGTGAGGGAACTGATGCAGTTGTTCAAGCAGTTTTACATTCACTTATTATCTGCCCTCTGCCTCAGAGAATATTCTAGTTTACAGTGCTTGGACTCTGAGTATAGGGACTTTTCCAGTGTTTCCTGTGTAAGGTTGCTATTTAATTGTCTATTTAGTTTCTCTGTCAATGCAATAACATCCTCTCTATCTTCTAAAATTCTTTTACATCTCTGGCTCACTAACGACACCGATAGCCTTCCTTGCTGTTTTTGTTGTTGTCATGTTGTTGTATGGTCTTGCTGTTGATTGATTTTTTTTTTTTTCCCTGATATTTCAAGGGGAGCTAGATAGGGCAGAGCAATAAAATTGTCTGGGTTTAGCCTGCTGTATTGAATCGGATGTCCAGAACATTAGATTAACAGCAAAAATAGAATAATACAATTCCAGTAACATTTACTATTCATGGTAAAAGTAAAAAAGGAATTTTAATGACTATAATCTTAGCCCAACATGTTGAGCTTATTTTTGGTAAATTATTGAAAGGAGAGATTTTAAAACTGAATTCTTTATTCATTTCTCAGATCGTCTTATTAGGCATAGAGCCTGTGCTTTAAGAGATACGGCCTATGCAATAATTAAAGAAGAACTTGATGAAGACTTTGAGCAGCTTTGTGAAGAAATTCGGGAATCTAGAAAGAAGAGAGGTAGGAAAATGATTTAGCATCAGAAAAAAGATGCCTCTGATGTAGTGTATGGAGTCCTTTTCATTAATCCTCCATGTAATTTTGAAATCTAGACATTTGACTTGATATCCCATGTCTATTTATAAGGTTGTAGCTCGTCCAAATATGCCCCATCTTACTATCATGTGATGCCAAAGCAAAATTCCACCTCTGCTGGTGATAAAAGATCAGATCCAGAGCAGAATGAAAAACTCAAGACAACTAGTACTCCTGTGGCTTGTAGTACTCCTGGTAAGTGCCCTTGGGTAACTTTTACTTATAAAACTAGCCTTTATTTTCTACTGATGCCAGTTACTTTCTCCTTAGTTTCCTCTATATCAGTGTGGTAAATTACCTTGATTTTGTTAATGTTAAGGCAAGTTTGCATTCTTGAAATAAATCCAGGTTTATAATGATATGCCACTTGCAGTCCCAGCTCACCTTCATCTAACTGCAGATTGACTGATTTGAAATTGATTTTCATTTCTATAAATTCTAGTCTATTTCCTGTTCCTCCTTATTCTTAGGGTGTAACTCCAGAGGGTACTAACCCAGAGCCCATGGGTTTTCCCAAGGCCTCCCATCCTTGGCAGGCTCTTAATTCCAGTTTTTGTTCTTTAAGCCCTATGAATGTCCCAACTCTCCTCAGCTTCTTAGACTCTCAGTTATTCATTTGTTTTTCCAGATTCTGGTATCATAATTCCTCGGTGTCTTGTTAGATCTCAGATGCTTTTAAACAGAATTTTTAAAATTCTGTGTGCGTGTGTGTGTGTTTGTTGCGGGGGTTGGAACATTACCTTTTGTATTGCATGCTTGTCCATCCTGGGGTAAGTGATTTGAGATAGGTAGAGTAAGCCCTTCTTTTGTAAAAATGGGAGATGGCAGCTGGGAAAGGGAGGATGAGAAGGCAGATGAGCAAGAGATCTGTACTACCAGCGGCTCTTGGTCAAATCAGCTTTGGGCAAGTATATATATGGAAATTGAGGACATGGACAATGTCTCCTTTAAAACAGTCCCTCCCTAGCTACACACCCAGCAGGATTGCATACATTATGTTCACTGAAAGACATGTACAAGAATGTTCTTAGAACCAGTATTTATAATAGCCCAAAACTGGGAGCAACCCAAATGCCCACCGACAATAGAATGGGAAAATATGGATTATTATACAACAGTGAGAATGACTAAAATTCAAGCACATGCAACAGTATGGACGAATCTCCCAAACAGAATATCACAGTGTAGTTATTCTGTATCTGATCCAGGCAGAATGTTTCAGCTCTGTATAGCTTAGTTTTCTTCATCTGTAAAACAATGTTGATAATGGTAGCAACCCTGATCAGGTGAAAGTGAAATTTCAGGGGGTCAGTACACAAAGAGCTTAGAAGAGTCCCCACCACGTCGTGAGCACTCAGTAAGTGTAGGCCATTTTCTCCAGTTCATCGCCACAGCGATTGTTGTTATGGGGTCATCATACAGTTCATATCATTGCCCTCCTTAAAATTATTCAAGATAAAATCCAAACTCTTTAGAAGGACACGTTATTGCCCACTTTCTAGCTTCTTCTCACAGTACTCTCTACCCTTGTTTCTGTGTTCCAACCATAAAAAACTACAGCAGTTTCTCAAACTCTCTACCCTCTTATATCTCAGGAGGTATTTTTCACTCACTTACTTAGACTTTAGAAAATTGTCGAATGTTCTTTTAATCCTTTTTCTTTAAATTCTTTGAAGCTCAGTTGAAGAGAAAAATCCGCAAAAAGTCAAAGTGGTACTTAGGCACCATAACAAAACGAAGGAAGATTTCACAGGTGAAAGATGAGAGCCAGAATGTCACAGATGACAAAATTGAGAGTGATACAGAGGAAAATCAAGATACAAGTGTAGACCACAATGAGACTGGAAACACAGGAGAGTCCTCAGTGGAAGAAAATGAGAAGCACCAAAATGCCTCTGAAAGCAAAATAGAATTGGGGCATAATAATTCAAGTATTTGTGGTATTGAAAATGAACATGAAGAATCTGGGAAGACCACAGCATGCACAGAAGTGAAGAAAGATAAAATTGTTTGCAATGGAGATGCTTCTGGCTGTCAGATAATAGATATTTCTGATGAAAATGAAGCAAAAGGTAAGTCTTTCTCAATTAAAGCAACTTACTAATTTTAATTTTAAAAGATGTTTTGGGGCACTTGGGTGGCACAGTCGGTTGGGTGTCCGACTCTTGGTTTCGGCCCAGGTGGCAATCTCAGGGTCGTGGGATGGAACCCCACATCGGGCTCCGCACTCAGCTCAAAGTCTGTTTGGGATTCTCTTTCCCTTTACCTGTGCCCCTCCCTGCTCATTCTCTCTCTCTCTCAAATAAATAAATCTTTAATTAATTAATTAATTATTATGTTATGTTAGTCACCATACAGTACATCATTAGTTTTTGATGTAGTGTTCCATGATTCATTGTTTAAAAATGTTTCACTCAAAGTTTTTTTTTTTTTTTTTAAAGATTTTATTTATTTATTTGACAGAGAGAGACACAGCGAGAGAGGGAATACAAGCAGGGGGAATGGGAGAAGGAGAGGCAGGCTTCCCGCGGAACAGGGAGCCCGATGCGGGACTCGATCCCAGGACCCTGGGATCATGACCTGAGCTGAAGGCAGACGCTTAACGACTGAGCCACCCAGGCGCCCTCACTCAAAGTTTTTAAATGATAAAATTATTTTTTAATTTTTTAAAATTATTTTAAAATAATTACCATCTCATTTAATTCCATTTCCTTGTCTTTCAGAATGCAGGTGTTAATTAGGAAAAATAGCAATTTCTTTACTTAATAACTGTTGATCTTGTAAATCACTATTGTTAAAAGCACAGTGTGGCATCACATAGACCTGGATTTGAACCCTAGCCTTCTACTTAGTAACTTGTGAGCTTGGGCAAGGTCTTGACCAGTCAGTCTCCCTTTTCTCTTCTGCAATATTGGGGTAGGTAGTGGTCGGGTAATGAAATATTTTGAAACTTGAATAAAATAATCCATCTAAAGCACGTAGCAAAGTGCTTGGCTATACAGTTTTCAAAAACTGGCAGGATACCCTCTTCTTTTTAAGCAAAATCAGCAGTTTTCTGTAATTCTGGCTGAGTGATATAGAACAAATGTTACTATCATTGCACTATTTCTCTTAGGGGTTAAGTCCAAGATTATTTATATTTATTCTAATGATCCTTTCACCAAAGTTTTTCATTTAGAATTGTCTTCTATCTGGATCTTCTTGGATCTTTAGCAGTAGATTTGTTTGGGTTTTGGAAAAGTCAAACATTATTTAGTCTTACAAAGCAAAAAGAGGGATAACAGTTAAAAAATTCATTTTGGTCAAAAACAAGTAATGAGGATGTTCATGAGACTGTTTTTTTTGTTTTGTTTTTTGTTTTTTCAGTGTCATAAACTGTAGGCAAATCTTTTTCAAGGACTTCCTTGAAATGAGTTCTAGTGTGTTTGAGTAATCATAGCAGGATAGACTAGGATATAGCCTTTTCAATGTGGATATTTTAAATGTTAATCTCTGGCTATATAATGTAGTATGTTTTGTTTGGGTTCAGAATTGTTTTATTTTTATTTCATCATCTTTTTTTAAAGAACACTATTTAATGGGGGATAGGTACTTGTTTACATATCAACAGATTTGGGTTCTTGTTCTGGCTCTTAACAGTTAGGTAGTTGACCTTAGAAAAAAGTCCCTTCACCTCTCTTGGCCTCATTTTTCTTATTTATCAGTGAGTAGATTATTCTAGATCAGAGATAGGCAAACTTTTTCTGTAAAGGGACATATAGTAAATATTTAGTGGTACAATCTCTGTCCCAACTACTCAACTCTGTTAGAAAAGCCACATTGACACACATATGTAAAATGGGCATGGTTGTGTTCTAATAAGACTTTATTTATATCAGTAGGGCAGATTGGGCCTATGGGTGGTAGTTTGCAACTCCTAGATTACTGAGGTCCCTTCCAGCTTTTACATTCTAGGACTCTCATGCCGAAGTAATCTTGTGCAAAGGGTCCTGCTGAGGGTCCTTTGAAATACTCCATTTGAGAAGTATTTCTCTTTCTTTTTTGAGAGTAGAAGTGGCAGCATCTTAATCTTACAGCAGAGCCAATAAACCAGAGTTGGTGTTTGTGTTTTAGTAAATATGTCCTGCTATTTAATCTGCCTAATATTTCTTTTAAACATAATGTCTGTGAACCACATAATAGTTATTTAACTTTTCATTCTAGAAATGTGTGTTCTGCGAATGACTCGAGCTAGACGTTCCCAAGTAGAACAACAGCAGCTCATCAGTGTTGAAAAGGCTTTGGCAATTCTTTCCCAGCCTACACCCTCACTTGTCGTGGACCATGAACGATTAAAAGTATGTAAATTGAAATCATAATGCTTTCGGTATGCAGATTAGTAACAGAACCCACCAGAAATGGACTTCATGCAATAAATAATGATCTTTTATAAAAGGGTGAACTTGGTATAGAATAACTCATAAAAGCAGTGTTTGGAGATGGCTAATGTGTTGATATTCTGGTTTGTAACATACTTGTCTGCATTATTGATCCTATACATTGTTTTGGGTTTTTTTTAAGATTTATTTATTTAGGGGCGCCTGGGTGGCTCAGATGGTTAAGCGTCTGCCTTCGGCTCGGGTCATGATCCCAGGGTTCTGGGATCGAGTCCCACATTGGGCTCCCTGCTAGGCGGGGAGCCTGCTTCTCCCTCTGCCTCTGCCTCTCTCTCTCTCTCTGACTTTAATG